TAACTCCAAAACAAAAGGGGCTACGAAGGTGAACATCCTTCGCATTCATGGCCCCACAGGGGTCCGGTCCCCTCCCGCTGAAATCCTCTGACAAGCGGGGCTTCTCCGCCACGAGCGATGTCGCCATGGGCGGAGCGACAGCAGCGACGGGCAGAGCGGGCAGCGGAGCTGGCGCCAGCGCTGGCGCAGGCAGTGCGACATCCTCGATGTTCAACTCCTGAGAGTGTCGATGATCACAGTGGACCAAGTCCCAATGAGCTACAGTTGCTCAAGTATGCTCAAGTGTTTTTTCATCCACCAGAATGTCCATATCAAACGGAATCAAACTGTTGTAAATCGATCAACATATCATGTCCTCCAATTCAAAACTCTCAAATAACATCTTGCAATGATCTGCCAACAACTTCCCATGAGTCCACTTCTCTCCATCCCTCCATTCACCCTGCGTCTGCCGAGTGCCTCAACATCCATCAGCTTCTTCCGCTCCGTCTTCCGCCGCTTCGCGGCGCGTTCCTCGGCGGCCTTGGCCTCAGCGGCGACCGCCAGCTGCTGCGCGTAGCGCCCCAAGCGGCCGGGGCTCGTCATCTTCGCCACCTCACGCAGCACCCAGGCGCGCGCCTCACAGGCGGGGACCCAGGGGTGCCAGGGTTTGGTGGTGATGAGGGAGGATGAGTTTGAGGATGAGGGTGGGCATTGAGGATGAGGCGATGAGGATGTAAGTCTAAGTAAAGAAGGGCATCTTATAACATCTTTGGTCAAAGACATCCGAAAACATAAACGTCGTGTTTTTTGAAGAAAAAAAAAGGCACCGCGTTTCCGGTGAAAAAGAAGAAACGCCGGAAGAAGCCGCGTGTGTGTTGGAACCCACCGCGCTCGGGAACCCACGGCACCGCTCCTGTGCAGCTCCACGGCGACCACAGCGTTTGCACTTGCAGCCATAGGAACAAACCATGGCAGGCGACTGGTTCTGGCGAAAGACTCTAGAACCAGCTTAAGCTAACCTGGATGATTGGGGCGGCATGACTGGAAGAAACCGGCTGCGACGCGAAAGAGAGAGCGACCGTCCAGTGGTTTCTCGGTCAAACAGAAGGGCTGTATATTATATCAGCATGGAGCTGACTGTATACTTGAAGGGGTCCTTAGATGTGAAAGTGCGACCGCACATCTGAAGTAAAGGAATTCCTAGCTTTAGACCGTTTTTCGGAGGACTTTTTGCTCGGTTTCGAAGAAGACACAATGAACACGAGACACACTCCGCTTAAGTTACTTCTGTCAGCACACGGCTGAATACAAGGGACTTTGGAGTTCATAGTTGCTGGGATTCCTTTCCGTTGCCGGCTTTGTCAAACATGGATGTCCTGCCAAAGACTGACTTCCCTTATTGCAGTTTACTCTCACATGTGGCCTATCTTTGCACATTCTGCTGCTGCAAGTTTGTTGAGGTGAGGGGTGGGGCCAAATGGCCTGTTGAAGCAGCGGGTAATGCACAAGTAAGCAAAGTAGCCAAAGCTTCTCAGAAGTCACAGCAGTAGCGTTTCATTCTCCGTCATGGTTAAATGAAAACCACCTGATGATTCTACAAAGAACGACATGCCGCGTGGCCTGAACTGCCAGCAATGCCCTCCGGCGCAAACCGGAAATGTCCAGAATAGCTACCGCCTTGCTTTTGCGGTTCAAGGCAGTATGGTTGAGTGAGGACAATGCGGCAAGCATCGAATCAGAAGAATGATCACTATCACACTGATCAGTTCATCTTGGACATAGCACACTAGAACCTCCCATGTCTTTTCATCAGCCGGTCACTTCTATCACTGGATAGTTGAACATCCTGCAATCAAGTCATCTTGATCTGCACGCTCTTCTGATTCACAAAGCATTTAGTTGAGTTCAAGAGATCTAACATCTTCCGGCATCGTCCAAACTGAGCGGATCCGGCCAGTGCTGCAGCTTGGAAAATCACCAACAAAGCATAGCCTCAGACCCGCAAAAGCTGCGGTCGGGCCCGCTAGTGGGGTTCATCTAAAGGAGTTTCAGTTTCACCGGTTTTCGGCAGAAACGATACGAACTAAAAACCGTGCTCTTGGAAGCCAATGAAACTTCACAGGGTTTCATGATGTTCCCATGACCCGGCAGAAAGCTCAACTCTTAGCTGTTGCTGGTTGAAGCAGTTGAATATAGCTGAATGATGCTGAAGGTCAAAATCATTGGTAATGCGCACCTAGGATTAAGTAACCCCCTATTTATTAATCAAGCCCAGCTCGAGCCCCCAACACTAAACTAATTTAAAACCTGAATTCCACATGTACATCACCCCAATAACTATTCTTCCTAGCAGAAACCTCCCCCTATTGATCAAGCCCAGCTCCCCCAGATAATGAGCAATATTAGTATTATAGTTAGGTATTATTTACTTTCTGTTTGAGCAGTAATATATATATATATATCTTCTGGTCCACTGCTTCTTATCCTCCTTCTGCTTCATTCTCATCCATCATTATCATCCTCCTTCTGCTTCTCATCCTACTTTTCTCATCCGTCCCTGTTAAAAACCAAAAAACTCGCTAGCAAAATTCGTTCATTTCCCCTTATTAAAACTCTATCAACATCTTAAGGTGTTAACGTTCAAGCTCACAAAGGGTACCCCTCACACAGGGCCTACCACCCTCTAATAGTAGGGGCCCCTCCCCCTATTAATCAAGCCCATCCTCTGGCCTCCATCTTGTTTTCCATCTCTTTCATCCTGCAATCCTCTTCTTTTCCCAATCATCCCAATCCCAATCTTTCCTAATCTTGTCATCATCTCATGATCCATCATCAGGTCATAACCTTTATTGAGGGGATGTGGTCTCTAATCCCTCCAATCCCAAACCTTGTTGACCTTGTTGACCTTGAAGCATGCGGGTTGATTAATCCTACATCGACATTTCTGGCTTGACTGACAAACCTGTTTTCGTTCGTGTTCGTATCTCTAAATCATCCGGGTAAAGAATCTGCAATGATTGTGCTGTGGCGACATTAGACCACCTCGACACAAGTCATCTGGCCACCGTTCTTTCTTTCGCAAACAAAACCAAAGCCTCGGCGCCCATGGTCTTTGAAATGTTTGGTTCTGGACACTATAATGCTTTCTTGCAAAATCTCTCAGCATCTTGCCACAACTGGGCGATCTGTTTTCCACCAGTGTGTGGACCTCAACACCGACGAAGGCAGCTGACACATCGAGTTTCGGCAGGCCTGGGGGGCTGGGTTTCGGCGAGCCCAATGGCTGTGAGGCAAAACGCAACTACTCAAAGCGGTGTTTGTTTGTCCACAATACCCAAACACTCCATGGGACTGCCATAGGACTGCCGATCAGGCCAGGGGTGGTTGACTGGGGCTCAATTGATCGGCAGTCCTATGGCAGTCCCATGGTAGTTGTGTCTGGGATCGTGTCTGTATAGTCAGGAGCCTGAGCACCACACAATGGCATAGTACGTCAGGCCCTGCAGAATCTGGTTGACGCCCAATGCCATGCAAACCTCGAAGGTCTTCAGGGCTCGAGCATGCGAAGGCGACGGTCTTCCGGTCTTCCGTCCCCAAGAGAAAACGCCCCAGACATCTCAAGACTGTGGCTTTTCATGTCAAGACGAGCTTCATGACATGCTGTGTTCGCTTGCTGGCCCAACTGCACCGAACCAAAACGACTATGGACCACACGCGGCAGTAGGCGTCGTAACACTGCCACTTGGCCTGATGGACTTCGACAGTCCACGATTCCGTCGGTCGAATCAAGGCAAGTGACCTTCTATACATGCGCCCCACAACTTGCGTCCTGATTGTGGGATTCCATAGGCCATAAGTGTCTGAGGAAAGGCTGTTCCGACGCGTTCTAAAATCTATCAGATGCTTTCCATCCGCACTTCTCTCAAATGAAATGTGCTTGAACGTGCCTGTAACCGCCGGAAGAGTTGCACATGCAGGCCAGGCATCGCCTGCAGGCTAAGTTGGAGCCAACAGCCTCCAAAAACATTTCAACAAAGAGCCAAATTTCATATCCCCAGGGGTGCTTTGAAGGCAAATTGAACACACCCCTAACAAACTAGCAGCCACAACATGCAAATATGCATACTGTATATAATATACGCAAATCAAATTATTTATTGTTATTCGTTTTCCTCCTTGCATCTTGGCGAAGTCCACCGTTGGGCGAACCATTCTCCAGGTCCCCCGGCCGCCGGCCGCAGCATCGCCTCCTCGCCGGAGAAGGGCGCCTGGTGCCCGAGCTTTCGCTCTTCGGTCGAGAAGGATCGACTGGTCTGAAAGATGAATTCAACGGTCCCGAAAGATATTGAGGGACTATGATACCCTGGGAGTCCAGTCGACCATCAAAAGAATGGTCGGACGAACGGTGACCCGAGCGGAATTTCCTGAAAACTTCAGTCGGTCGGACTTCGCTCCGACGCTGTGGCGTCGTCACGGGACGCGTTTGACACCGCACCGCGTTTGACACGGCACGTTGCCTCTCCACTGCCCAAGCAATGTGTCCTGGCCAGCCATGAATGGTACCGAGCCTAAAGGCCATTGAATTCACATCGAGCGGGGAAGGTTACCAATCTGGGGTGTGGTACTGGTATGGTCATGGTGGGCTGGTACTGTTTTGTTGAGATCGTGTTTTCTGGGTTCTTGCAGGCTTCTGAAGTCCTAATGTCCGAGAAGCGACTGCCTTCAAGTTGATCGGTGCAACATGCGCGACTGCCTTCCCGTGGTTTCATGGGTGCAAACCCTTCGCGTCGAGACTTATGGAGGCAGAAACCGGCAGCAAACACTCCTCACATCGGATCCCCAAGCTGTAGAACTGGTAGAACTTCTCACAAAACCCATGGTTAAAACCCAAACCAGGTCAAACCAGGTCATTTCCCCAAGATGTCCTTAACTCAGGTGAATGGTTTTTTCATGGTCTCCACACACCGTCCTCGTGAAACACCTCGTTCGCTCGAAAGGTGCGCCGCGGCACCGCAGTCCTCGCGGCTTCTTCCGCCTCTGAGACGACCGGCGCCTGCTGGACCCGGACCCGAGGTCGAGGAGACCGGCAGCGGAGGGGGGGAGGGTCGGCTCACCAACTGGTGCACATCAAGACCCCCTTGTGTCCAATTGGTTGAAAAGGAATTGCATCGATTTCAAGGCCGACTTCTGGACAGTGGATCTTCATCCATTTCAAGTTTGAATGGCTTGATTACGTGGTTTCAGATCACGCCCAATCAAGGTGTTGTTCAAGATTAAATAGATCTGATGTGGCTTATCTACCTGGATCTTTATATAGCTGTTTGACTCATCTCCAAGATCTGTCTTGGCCTCGGTGCCATCTGCCGCAGCAGTCGCTCCACCGTTGCTGGGCGCGGGTTCTGGAAGCGGCGTCGCCACTGGCAAAGCAGGTGCGGCATGGGAAGCATGGGAGGTCTTTAGCTGAATGTGCTCTGCTGTTTGGCTGTCTTCAATCACCTTCAGTTGTCAGTGACAAGGTGCATGTTGACAAGCTTCCATTGTAAGAAACACGAGACGGTGGTCTGACTATATAGATCTCATGCAAGGGACTGCCCAGTATGGCACAACTTTTCTCGAGCGAAGGGACTTACTTACGGACCACCCCACATGTCCAATGTGCCAATATTCGAGAACCAGAAACTGAATGGTTTGAATCACACGCTCGAAACAAGAAATCAGCCAAAGCTATGGGTCTTCCTGAACATGTCCCTGCCATTTCCTCCCACGCGCTCCCACAAGCGCCGTGAGCAGCCTGGTGGAGCTGCTTCTGCAGCCGGTGCCGGGGCCAAGGCCATCGGTGGTGCGGCCGTGGTCTTTGTGGGATCTCCTGGTCAGTGGTGAGATCACCGGAATTTTGGCATCGGTGGTGCATGTCACACAATAAAGCTTGAATGTTAAACATCGTTTTGCATCCACCAGGTGTGAAGCTTCAGGATGTGTTTTTTTGACTTTTTCTGTCTGCAGATTGCCGCATGCAGCAAGTGCCATTTGCATTGAACCCGTTCCATTCAATTCTTTGGCTTGTACCCCATCTTGCGCTTGTATTCATACCTCATCAGCCATTTCTGGACAAGTAGCAAAGTCCACTCCTACTGGACTACTGAGAGCTGGAAAAGGACCCCAAGCTACTCTCACGCTGGAAAAGGACCTCAAGCTTGGACAGACGAGACGAGATGAGATGGTAGTCAGCGCAGTCGCCGTCCTTCCTTCTGCTTATCACCTTCGACCTGATCAGGTCGAAACGCTTCGATCTTTATCGAATTAGCTGATGTGACTACAAGTGCCTTAGGAGCTGAGAAGCATGTGTGTGACTACATAGCATCTGCAGCATGAGACCAGGAGACAGATCAATGTTAGAGATTCATTTAATCAATTGGAACCATTTAGAGAAACATCGGGAAACCATCACTTTCCCAAGGCAAACGTGACTGCCATCATACCAAAATATCTCTGCAGGATGAAGCACGTCATCGCAATGATGTCAATCTGTTGCAAGGCATGCTTTCTACAGTGGCCGCTGACATCCCTTCACATCCTTCGAAGTGTTCAGAATTAAACCGGTACCACTCCACTAAACCGCTATAACCCCATCGGCCCCGATAAAACAGAGAAAAAAGACAAGTAGAAGCGCCTTGGGAGCTGTCCAATCGTTGCCCTGATGCAAGACTGGTAGCCTTGGCAGCCGGCAAATTCTCTGCCAAAATGGCCGAACCGAGCAGGTCTCGAAATCGAAACCTGGAATCAAAGCTGGTCTCGAAACCTGGATTCTGATGGATTGATTCTGATGGATTCAAATTGATTCTGGGCTTCTTCTCTGGATCTTTGTTGTTTGACCAAAAGGATTGTGGAGCTTGTGCGCGCCGGTAGAAAGGGCCTCTTTGCTTCCATGACCACATCGCCATAGAGAAACAAACCACATACAAAATACACAAACCACAAGGGCCTCATTGTTTCATCAGACGCCTTCACACGCTTTCACACCCGTCTTCACATGCCTTCACCCGTCTTCACACCCATCTTCAAACCCGTCAAACCTCTGTCACGCCGGCCTCAGCACATTTTCCAAGCCTTGCTTCTCGAAGTCCGCCAGACGGCGACCTCCGATCGATCGATCTCTCTTCTCTCTTCGCTCGAGACCCGGGACCGGCCCCGACGCGAGACCCGCGTCTCCGCGGAGGAGTGCGGGCGCTCGAGCGAGCGACCGGGCGCGATGGGATCGGGGGAGGAGAGCAGTTCGCAGCAGAGGAGGAGCAGTTCGGAGGAAGGAGCAGAGTTCACCTTTGGATTTTGACTAAGACTGCTTCTCCAAGTGGTGGGAATTCATGGATCTGACGCTTTGAAAACGTTCTCAAGCCCCAAAAAAGGAAAAATTCAAAGAAGACCAAAAGGACTGATCAAAGGGTATCTCAGCCCGAAAAGAGAGACGCATGATGTGGCCCGCTCTGGTGCCCACTCAAGGGTGGGACCTCCTGTTTGTCACGCTATGTGGCTATGTGGATTTAACAGGAATCGCTATAGCTTGACTTGCAATTCCATTACAATCAAAGAACCTGTTGGCCAACCTCCTCTGCCAATGTGTGTTGAACGTCTTTCTCCCTTCTCTCCCACCCTCCTCTCTTTTTCTCACCGAGCGGCTTAAGGAAGCGATCTGTTGTGGACTCGGAATGGGAAGACGCACAAACCGTGTTAAGAGTCGAACCTGAGCGCGGCGCACCAACCGTGGTCCGTCGCCAACTGAACTGTGACGTGACGTCGCACGGTTCCACCCCCCTGGTGGCCACCGCATGGGATGCCGCCTTTCCGCTATTCGAAGAGTTGGATCAGGTGACAGAAACGCGATTTTTCGAAGTCGAAACTTCTTCGCCGGTGGTCTTTGGGACTGGACATGACGACTGTCGTGACGGGTCAGTAGAGGCGCGGAACCTGGCCGCGCGGCGCGGCTTCCGAAAAAGCGTCTGACACCAGGCACCGAACGCCGAAGCTGTGCGAAGCAATGGAGGCATGCATACCTTGGAAAGGTGCGAAGCAAGGGGCGAGGAGGACAGCGAGGAGGACAGCGAGGCAAGAGTGCAGTAAAAAACAATCAAAAAAAACAGCATCTGCAGTTGCTTCAATGCCAGAATTTTTGAGTGAAAAGATGTGAAAGTCTTGTCTGCCTCAGCTGGTTTTGGAGTGGGTACATCCAAATGCATCCGGAAAATGAGATTCTCAAGCGCTCCCCTGGACGGTGTTCCCCAGTTCACGCTGCGTCGCAGCCAGTTCACAGTGGTCGTCATCGAGTCGGACTTTTCCGTCACCAACATTTCTTCGGCCAAGATGCTTAGCCACACAGCGATCAATAAATAAACAAAGGCACAGGCCTGAGCCAGCACTGAAGCATTTGTCAAACATCCAATCTTCTATATGAACGGTTGATTCTATGGTCTGTTGTATTCTGGCCAATGGAGCCCGATGGATTCTGCTTCAGATGGTCCAGGAGGTCTCTCAGGAGGCTGGAGTGAAAACGCAGCAAGCTCACTACTCAGGGTCATGCGTTTGACAGCAGGAAAAGCGCCAATATGAAGGGCGGTGCATTCGCCTGGGCAACACGTCTTCGAGTGCCAAGGCAAGATCCGGGATCCGGCACGGCAAGATGCGGCAAGATGCGTCTAAAGCATCAAGTTTGCTCGAAAAGAACCATCCAACATCTAAATTCCCATTAGGCAATTGCAGCAAACCTGCAGTCTGAATCGTAGCAACGCGCAGCTTCGCAACATGTACTGCTTAGTCAAGTGCTTTGCCCAATCCATGCTTCGGCTACAAATATGACCAAACAAAAAGCCTACAACCCCGCACAAGTCATTGTGCCTGCACTCTGCCTTCACAGAAGAATGTGACGCAAAACCTGTCATGAAAGAGTCAAGGTGTCCACAAATGCGCCATTCCAAAAGTCCATCATCACAGAAATTCATTGCTTTTTCAACGCAAGAATCACCCGACCCATACCCGACCACAGGGTTTATATGATGGGTATCTTGTGAGCCACACCCAGTAGAGCTCTGGATCCACACAGCACTTCATTGTGCTTTCAATCATCCTCTCATCTCCATACTAAACATCCAAGCATCGACAGCAAACACATTGCAAGAAGGCCCACCTTGAGGAAGTTCGAGTGGTTTCATAGATTTCATAGATGATACTACTGTTTAGCCAAAATTGGCGAAGCCAAGCAAATGGACCCATATATAGCCAAACCATCTTACTGTACCAGTTTCTCTTCGAAGACTCGTTTCAGCAAAACTTGTAACTCTTGCCAGCAGTGCTCCAGAAATAACGCACCAACCAGATGGTAAACGTCCATTCCTCAGACGTATCACGTGCATCGCGGCGGTCATCGCGACGGTCAACGGAATCCCAATTCCTCCATGCACTGCGAAGCGGGTCACAAGTCGCAAGCAGCAATGCTTCTGAAGGCAACCGGAGTAAGTCACCATGAAGTCAGGAAACTTCTCGACACGAAGACTTTCGCTGTGGGGGTCGAAAAAGAACACGCCAAAGTCTTCGTGTGGGACGTCTCTATCGGAACAAGCCCTCGAACCAAAAAGCCGCGGCAATGGGCTTAGCTGGGCTTCCCCAGCGACCCACGGTCAATTCCACCAGATCTCTCACATCTTCTCGAAAGAGCTCGAAGCGCTTCACCTGCCACGAAACCCACCGTGTCCCGCGGAAGGCACCGGCACGAGAAGGGAGCAGCATGTTCCGGCCATGCGTGAGGCATGTGTGAGGCATGTGAGGTGCGAAGTCTGGAAGATGCTTTGTTGTGAGGTGCGTGTTGAGCTTGACGAATGTCACCAGGTCGTTGCGTCAGGGCAAGAAACAAAATAAACTTGATTTGGTCAACCAGTCACCAAAGGAGTCAACCAGTTTTGAACCCAAGTTAAGGGTCGACTGTGATCCAAATCCAGTTGTATTCACAGATAATCCTCCACCTGCCAAGCTGCTTGAGCACACAACCAGCAAATTCAGGGGGATGTGGATATTATTCTGCGGAAAAGACATAAATGAGAATACACAAACATTACAATAAGGGATTCTGAAGAAGAATGTCTTATCAACACAGACTCAGGAACTGGGTGTGTCTCAACTTCAAATCCCCGAAGCAAACATCGGTTGGTTTACCAATCTTACAAATTGGGTGTCCGTTCATGACAAGCAGACACAAAAATCCGTTGTTGCCTTCACAACCTTGGCGCCTCTACATCTTGACAACTTCGGCCATCACCAAATCTGCACCCTTTTCAGAGCTCCCACAACTCCGCCTGCATCTCTAGGCGCAACATCTCTCGCTCCAATCGTTGATCCTTGGCCAATCTGTGACTCCCGCCACTGCTCTCGGCATGTCCCTTCTTCTGACATTAAGACAAAGACAGTGACATAACCACCAAATACCACCAAAACACCAAAAGAACATCAGTGTTACTGTACATTGCTTTATCTACGCAGCTGCTGATTTAGTGATCATGTCGAACCAGCTTTCTCTCCACAGTCGACCAATGTGATTTCTGTGAGTCATGTAACATCAATGTGACCCAGCACCACAAGGTGCCAAGGGGAACTATCAGCCTAGCTTAGCTTGGTGCGCATGCAAAAAGCTACCTGCCTTGCATACTCTACTGAACTAGTAGAGAAGCCAACATCATTGTTGGACACAAGACCAATGATGCCAATGATCAAGAAGATATGGCAGTGAGCCAAAACCGGGTGACCTGGTTGATCACCGAAAATGAATAGATTACCAGGTCAACCTACTAGGGTTTGAAGCTCCAGGTTTTGACCTGCCATATCAACCTACACGCGAGGTCGGTCGAAATCGCCTGGTCGAACTTGTAGCTTTCCCGGTTGTAGGAAAAAAGCTCCTGGAATCTGAGAGTGGAGTGTTCGGCGCAGAGAGGAAGGAAGCGCGCCTGGGCGGCGCCTGGCTGGAAGTGGGTGTGAAACTTTGTTGAGACACCCGGAAGTCAACAAGGAGGATGTTGCAACTCATGACAAACATCGGGCGTCTACAAACCTTCACCGGCCTTAACCTTCCTCAACGGCCAATGGTTTTCTGGAAACTACAAGTCAAGGTTCCTATCCTCTCTATTATCAGTCCCAGCCACCCTACCTCCCCAGGCTCTATATGGCACAAAGTGAGGTCTAAAGAGGCTAAGATCGGATTATCCGTGCTAAATATATCACCCTGCAGCGGTTTGATGCTCCTTGGCCCCGAGGCCAATGGCTGCAAGGATCTCGACCATGATGTGGATCTATCTGCACAGTGGTGTTCAGAGGACTCTCGCAACTCATCAAAACCCATGATGCCATTCATTTGGGATCTCTCAATTTTCATTGTTCAAACATTGTTTATACTTTTCTATGTCACACGCCATGCTCCATGCAGTCCATGCTCTTCGTACATCTGTTGGCTCAAAAGGTAAAAAGAAATGGAGCACCACGGCACCACCGTGTCACCAGGCCTAAAACGGGATCCACAAGAATGGATCCCTTGAAGGCTACAAGCAAGGCTGTCTTGCAGAGAGACAATGTGATGGCTGTCTTGAAGGTGGTGCTCGGAGGATTAGATTGATGTGAGAGATGCGGCTAATTACTGTAGATGCATTAGATCTGGTTGATTTACATAGTTTCAGGTCTGCAAAATGTGCCATCGACAGCTGTTGCCATCCACAGCGCCACTATTCCTGCATCGATGCTGAACAATGTTGCCTCTGTGGCGCTGCATTCTTAAATATTCTTAAGGGACAAAGGCTGGCCGGGCTAAACTCTTCACATCAAAAACTCAATAAATGTGAGAACAGTGGCACTCACACACACACAATCTCCTGTACTGTTTCCTAGCCAGCAAGGCAAACTCTGATGAAAGAACTGTGCTGATATAGAAATCACAACAACAAATATCATTACGGAGGGGGACACAGCAGTCCATGTGGAGTGCGTACTCCACAAGAAACAAATAACACATGATAACGCCATCAAATACCGGGCACAACAATGCGAATATAGAAATCTGTCTGACCAGGTTGACCTTGGAGGGAACTCTACCAGTGCATCCCCTTACCTTCCAGATAAACCTTCCCACGGTGTGCTCTTTTTCACGAAGCCAAACGAAGCCGACATTCCGTGAGGGATGCTCGCTAGATCTCAGGGTGGGCCATCCACAGCGTCCTGATGTAGAGATCAGGGTGGGCCTATACCCAGGCTGGCAATTCTATACCTGGTGTCATCCAATCGGTAAAATTGGCACCTTTGGGAATCCTTCCAACATGTGATTCGGCTGGCGATGGGAAGGCCGCCACCAGCCGCTTGGCCACCAACCCGTACCCACGGTGGGGTTAATCGGGACCGGTCATCTCTTTGAGTGGTTGAAGAGTCCAACACTGAGTCCAACATCACGTGGTGATGTAACTCATGTCAGACTGTCTGCTTAGTTCGCACGGATCAAAAAAGAACCTGCGAACCTGCGAAACTCGCTCGATAGATCCCTGGAGACTATAATGTAGACTCTTGATTAATAACCCCCTTCATTTGAATTGAAACACCTTTCCATATATGGGGGGTTATTAATCTCAGACCCTAAAGCTCGAAGCTCACATGCCAAGACTCCATCCGAGGGATCTGAAGAAGAAGGGCTCAGCCAGCCTATTTTGTCCGTCAAACAGCCAGTGTGCAATGGGACGATTCCTGGCACCTGCCAGTTGCAACCAACAAAACCTGTTGAGAAAAAACAAAACAGCACAAGAAGACCGCACGTCTCAACTGAGGAATACCAACGAGCGCTGCTGTGAAACTGCTAGCTTCTCAATTGTGTGAGTTGTTGTTTCGGTCAATGAGACCGATGGCTTGCAGATGCCTCCTGAGTGTTTCAGGAGTCACCGCTTTCTTGAAACACCCCCATCCGTGGCTTATTCGTGGCAACCTGCCCAAAGCAATCGGCCTGACTGACGCAGTGGCCACTGACCATGGACAGCAGGAAACACCTGGCATGAATGGCCCGTGCATAGCGCGCCATTCATATGTGGGGAGGCCTTTAGAGGCTTGGGAACGCCGATGCCCAAGGTCTTCCTCACAAGGCTTGTTGCGGCAAGGCTTGTTGTGGCAAGGCTGCTGGTTCGGGAAAGTCCTCCAAAGGGGATTACCTCAGTTGCTCTCGGACAAAACCTAATTGACTCAATTCTCGCTGCGGCAACACGTTGCTGGCGCGGTCTTTTCGTGCGATCACACGGTCATGATGCCATCGAAAGGCCCCTGTACTGGCTCGCGATGGATGCATGATGCCCCGGTAATCTCATTGCATCATTATAATATCTTTAACACTACACCTCCACCTGCTTCTGGCCAGTCAATAGCAGAATCCAGTCGCAGCTCAACAATTTGCTGCCCTATCATGAAGCCAGTACAGCAACACATCCTTTGATGTGTTGAGGCTTTCCAACCGCATGTTGAGAGGAGGACATGAGTCATCTTCGTGATGGTGCAAACTTGTTGTCTGCCTTCAATCATCTCTACAGAGTCAGAGCTTTCTGCAAGCATGAACGCTCATGAAACTCCTCTCGTGTTGCACAACAATGCAGAATGGCTGAACCAGAAGTGCTAGATGGTTCTTCTCATTGGATTTCATGCAGTAGGTTGAGGCAAAGGCAGTTCAATAGTTGTTTCTGAAACATGCAAGCTCTCCGTGGTATTTATGAAACTACGTAGCGCACTGAGAGTTCATGTAGCAGCAAGAATCTATGAATGTTGTCTTTCTCTCTGCACCAGGGAGAGCACTGAACCGAAAAACCAAGCACCTCTGGTTGAGCCAGTCCACATGTGGACGCGGGGCATTAACTCGCCAGCGCCAACGAGGCATGTCTTGTTTCGTTCGTCTCTCTGGTAGAAAGGGATAAGATCTAAGAAGACAGGGAGAAGAAGGAGAAAGGAAGAAAAGGAGAGGGAGAGAGAGAGAGAGGGAGAGAATAATTAAGGAGAAAGGGATAAGATCGGATAGGAAAGGAAGGACGGCACGAAAAAAGAGAAGGGAACAGAACACGACGAGAAAGGGAGAGGGAGAACGAGAACCGTCTCCGCAGTCTCCGCGGGTTGGCGGCTAATCGTTCTCCGTTTTACTGACTCCGCATGGGTGAGGCGAGGAGATGACCAGAGAGAGGAGGAGAGCAACCAGCTGCTGGCAAAGTACTTTGTTCACCCAAACCAGTCCCAAAACCAGTAGCTTCTTGCTCCTACTAGTAGTAGTAATGCCAGGAGCGCCCCGTTCGTCGCGTGCGAACGCCGTTTCCGTTTGATCTGCCCTTTAGCTACTTCACCGTTCGTAGTAGCGATGCCCGGAGCATCCGATCTCCGAAGTGCTGAAACAGGGGAGCCAAATGAACCACCGGATAGCTTCTGACTTCTGACTTAAGCTCGATCTCGCAAGCGCGGCATGTCCCTAAACCCTAAACCCTCACATCTGCGCCAGGGCTTATGGCGAACTGTACCTTAAGTAGGAAGTTTGAGGTTCCAATGCCGTGCCAATGCTTGAATGCCAAAATCAATCACAAAGCCCGAGGGACGATTAGTATTAGATTGCAAATGTCTCGAAAACGGTGAGTGCTCACATCATGCAGTCATTCCGTCCCAACACGTGACGTGAAGCAAAAAAACGACCGAATCTATATACAAACATGTATATATAATCAATGTATAGGCCTAGGTATAGAGATGTTCCCTTCATCACCTTTCCATCTTCCCAACCCCAAACCACGTTGCTTCTTCCGCACGAAGGTGAGCTCCCGCTCCAGCTGCCCTTGATCCCTCCAGAGCTGCCGCGCCACCGCGCGGCGCCGCAGAAGCAAACGCGCGCGCCGCAGCGCCGCCGCGCGGTGGCGCCACGTAGCGAAGGTCAAGCGCAGCAGCGGCGTGGCGTAGGGACGCTTGGCCTCGCAGAGGCAGGGCGAGGCGAAACGATGGGACCACGGTGGAGCTGGTGGGGCCTGCTGGGAGACCGGTGGAGCGAGGATAGGATTTGGGTGCCTCTTTGGGGTAGGAATGGTAGAGACGACCGGTAGGAGATGAGTCAGTCATTTTTGGAGCATTGGACGGAGTCAGTCATGGTAAAAGTGGCTCGTCAAGCCGTTCGAATATGGCTGAAGCACATCAGTGCAGACTGGCAACGTCATGGCGTCTTGTTTTGAACCTGGGAGGAATAGCATCAGCTGTCCACTGTCCACATGATCTGCACCACTCAGCAAACTTAGTAGTGCTTATGCAAAGCCCAACCGACAAACAAAAACAGGTCCTACTAAACAAATTTCTCCAAAATAGAACCTCATCTCCTAAATATGTAATCCACCTGGCTTGCAATCGCAGGGCTTGGTACTCGCCCTGCATCCACGCGCCACGTGCGCGCGCAGCGCGCCACACGGCCGCCGCCGGCTCCGCCGGTGCCTTGCGCAGCTCGGCCGCCTTCGTCCTCCAAACGGTCCAGGTCACGTGGAGCAGCAGCCGCCAATAGCGGCAGCGCCGAGAGGGGAAGCCCAACTGAGGCCTGCGAGGCGTGGCGTTGGCGTATTTCTGTTGGTGGAGTCTCTGGCAGAACTTGGCAGCTGCGGAGACTTGTTGGTATGTTCTTCAAGGTAAATCTGAGGATTCAGTGATGTTTCAAAGTTCTGACTTGGCACTTTTGCTTTGGAATAAATGAAGAAATGTCGTTGCTGCAGCGTTCTGCATGCAAACAATGTTAAAAACACCTGTCCCCAAACTCCGAGGATCATCAGCTCCGAGCCTCGGGATATTCAGCTTCACATTCGACAGGTTCTCTTGAAGCCTCAGCAAACCCCCTTGACTCAAGCGAACGGCAGAATCTATGTGAAAAAGCGTTCCAGAAAGGTATGATCACAAATTGTTTGATGATTTTGTATCTATTCCAGCCTCCAACTAACCATCATCCAACCATTGCTGGTACAATCTCTCAAACCCTTTTGCATCTCATCTGTCTTCAAGCTGTTCAACATCTCATTTCTGTCTTCGCTCTTAAGTTTTCCAAAAAGAAAAACGATCCACGTCGGGATGTTGGTGAGCACACTTGTCGTTTCTCGTTCTCTTCAGGATCCAACTCGGGACGCAGACACCTGCATCTGCCTGTTACTGCCTGTTCCGAAGAATCAACTCGTCCTTTCTCGGCCAGGGAACAATCTGCTCAAGTCCACCAGTTGCACCTGACCGGCCGTGTAATCGCCGCTTCGCCACGGGCTACGTCCGGAACATCACCGGCGGCTTCTGATGCGACACTCTTATTCCCTAAGGCTCCAAGTACCTTCTCAGAAGGTGTTTGGGGTGGGTTTGGAGGGTCCAAACACCTTCTGAGGAGGTACTTGGAGCCCTAGGGATTATAGACACTGGTGGAGGGGTCTGAGCCTTTCATGGCCAGTTGCGTTCGCGTTTACGTTGACGATTTATGGAAGACACTCTCTAGCAGAGAGTCTGGCTCTTTTGCCAGAAGGTGTCACGTTTTGACACTGTAACTCTACAATCGATCTACAGTCGGATGG